TGGACACTCTTTGTTTCAATAAATAACATCTTTTTTTCCTCCCTACAGCCCAAACGAAAAGGCCAACACACCAGGTCCACAAGAGATGCTCAACAATCTTTCCTTGCAACAAGTACAAACTAAACTGTGTTTCCAAAAAAACACTACATTGGGAACCTCAGCCACAATGAAAAATTCCAGTCACTAACAGTTTAATTTTTTAAAAATCCAACATTTACATTAGGTGACCCACAGAGAACTTGCAAACTTTCTTTAGTGAGGTACTGCTACCTTTGCAAAGAACCTAACTTGGGAAAAACAACCTGGAAACGTAAAGAACTCCACAAACGGTGACTTTAGTTTTAGAGCCGTAATTCCTATCATAAACATCCTATCGAAAAAAAAAATTAACAGTTGCCTAAGGAAATCTTTCATTCTGGAAGCAAAAAAGGAAACAAACATGAAGCAGAAAGGGAATAACCCCCAAAATAAAGTTTAAAAAATAATAATTTAGTCCCCCATCCTTCCCTCTCTGGTGAAGTATGTGATTTATATAGCTTTGCTCTGCAGAAATCTCGTTCTGGGCAGCTCAAGGAAGGAGCCGAGGGAGGGAGAGAAAGAGACACAGGCACAGAAAGGAGAGGAGAGAGAAAAAGAAAATGGCGCAGAGACTAAGTCCCGACCGTCGACAAGGCGACTTTCCCGGGAGGAATCCCGGCCCGGAAAGACCGCCCGAGGCCGGGTGGCGGACGACACCGGGTCTCCGTTGCCCCCTCTTGGGAGGGCCGGGATTTGGGGGAGCTGGGGTCCCCGGAAAGGGGGTCAAGAGGCGGCCCGATGGGAACAATGGGGCCGGTGAGCGAGGAGCCGGGACTTAGTCTCTGGGACGCCATGTCTGTCCTCTGCCCGGCACCGGCAGGGCGCGGGGGAGGCGGCCGGCGGCTGGGGGGCCCCGGGGTCGGGGCAGGGGGCACACTCACCATTCAATCGGAAATCCGCTTCGATCTGGAAAAAGAAAAGGAGAGAATATCAAACAACAGCCACTTTAACCCCTCTGGCGGCGAGCGCGCGCGGCTGGGGGCCTGGCCCACCCTGCGCCCCCAGGGAGGACGGGGTCCCGGGGGTGGCCACGGAGGGCAACCATCCCCCCTCGAACTGTAACTTCGCGGCCCTTGTTCGCGGCCTAGCGAGCCGATCTACTCCGGCGGGCGGCACCTCGCCGGGGGCCCCGGCCTGTCAAAGCGGCCGGGCCGGGGCTGGGGTAGGGGCCTGCGCCGGGGGTCGCGGGACGGCCAGGCTGGGGTCCGGGGCTGCCGGGGTCAGGCCGGGCCGTACCTGGGAATCGTTGTGGAGGTGGTCCCCACTCATGTCGGCCCGGAGCGACGAGCGCGGCGGCAGGCTAGGCGGCGTGGGGGAGACGCAGACGGCGAACCGGCCTGTGCGGGCGGACGGGGACCCTGGAGCCTCGAGGAGGCGCAGGTAAGCGGCGGTGACTGTGGACCCGAGACTCCAGAAACGGCTGAGGCTGCTACCACGGCGGCGACGCTGCCTGACTGCCGGGCGGGCGGCGAGAACAGACCCCACCAGTTGTGTAACAGCCTAAGTTCGCATTTGGGCTCACTGCGCCTGCGCGGTCGCTTTTAAACAACACGTCGACGACGTCAGCGCTCGCGGAAAGAGGCCGAGGGTTGCGGCCCGCCCCCTCGCGGTTCGCCTGACGGACCCGGGTTTGCATCGCAAGCCCCGCCTCCGGACCGTGCGCGCGCCGCTGTGATTTGCATAAGGAGCCGACTCCTCCCACGGCGTCCCACCCCAAGCAGCCTCCCGTTCCTCTTCCTACGCCTTTTCTCGGAACCCCGACCCCTCTGCTAGGCAGTGCGCAGGCGCCACCCGGGCACCGCCTCCGGGCCAGGGCTGGCCGCGCAGCCACGTGGTGGGCCTTTAAAGGCCGCGGCGGGACCCAGGCGGTCTTGGGCCAGCTGGTGTCCCACGTTCCCATCTATTTGGAGCGGCGAGTGCCTTGGCAGCCGGGACCCCAGAGGTCTCCCCGGCGCCTCCTTTCTTGCTAAGCCGGCCCTGAGGCTGCCTGGTGGGAGGAGTCCCCTCCCCAGCCTTTGTCCAAGCCCTCCAACTTCTGGAGTATTTCACGCCCACTTGTTAAAAATTATTTTAATTTTTCAACCAACCAAGGGTCCGGTTTAGCCCCAGTTTTCCGCCGAGTACATGTAGCCCTGGGTCACCAAGGATCTGATTTCTTTGGTTCATTCTACAAATACTTACTAAGCATCCGCTATGAGCCCAGGAATTGTGCTGAGGGGAGGGGAAATGCAAGAGACCAAAGGGAACTGAACCTGTCTCTATCCGCGGCTGTATCCCTAGCATGCTGGGAGGACGGGGCAAATGGGGAATAGAACTACCTTTTATAGAGCATCTATTCTGTGCCTAGCTCTGAATTCTGAACAATAGCTCTGTGAGGTCGCCTGTTTTACAAAAGGCAAACTGTCTTAAAGACAAGGCACCAACAACCACCTACCTTGCATCTATAGTTGGATGCCTCTCAAGCTTCTCTGGGGATGAACTCAACTCCACTTAGCTAGAAAAAGCCCCAACCTGACACCTTCCTTTCCCTCATTTCCCACCAGTCCCGCTGATTACTTCTCTTCACTCCATCTACTTCTCTCTGCCGCCCATAAGCCTTTGAAGTCGGCGTTCTCTTGCTTGGATTAATACAATACGCTGGCCGGGGGTGGTGTCTCACACTTGTAATCTTAGCACTTTGGGAGGCAGAGGCTGGCAGATCACTTGAACCCAGGAGTTCAAGACCAGCCTGGACAACATGGCAAAACCCCGACTCTACAAAAAAAAAAAAAAAAAAAAAAAACCTGGCAGGGCGTGGTGGCATGTGCCTGTAGTCCTGGCTACTCGGGAGGCTGAGGTGGGAGGATCACCTGAGCCAGAGGAGGTCGAGGCTGCACTGCACTCCAGCCTGGGCAACAGAGTAAGACGTGGTCTAAAAACAAAAACAAAACAAAGCACAAAAAAGCACTGCACTCCAAAACACTACACTCTAACGGATTGCTGCTTCCATTCTTGGCCCTCTCCTAAACTGCATTCCAACAATTACCAAAGTGATCTTTTCAACATGCTAATCGAACCATTACTCCTTTGTGGATATTGCCGCATCTATTACCACTTTCACTATTATTTTTAATATGTTAATTGATCTCCTTTTTATTTACCTTCCTCCTGTTATGTGTGAAATAGTATCTATGAAATCATTTGGAAGTAAATATGAAAAATGTTCATCCAGTGGACCATCAGTATCTTTATCACATCTAATGGTAAACATTAGATGTGTTTATCACACCTTGTGAATGCTTCAAGATCAACCTAAATATCACTTTTTCAAAGTGACTTCCAGGCACACTACTGACCCTGCTTCCACTGGCTGACCAAGGGTGCCTTTTAGGCCAGGCATGGTGGCTAACGCCTGTAACCACAGCACTTTGGGAGGTCAATGTAGGTGGATCACTGGAGGTCAGGAGTTCAACAACAGCTTGGCCAACATGGTGAAATCCTGTCTCTACTAAAAATACAAAAATTAGCAGAATGTAGTGGTGCACACCAGCTATTTGGGAGGCTGAGGCAGGAGAATTGCTTGAACCTGGGAGGCAGAGGTTGCAGTGAGCCGAGACCGCACCACTGTACTCCAGCCTGGGCTACAGAGGGAGTGAATCTCAAAAAATAAATAAACAAAAATAAAACAAAGGGTGCCTTGTAGTATCTATCTCCTTTGTAACACTTATGACACTTGTTATTAAGTTACAAATGGAGTAATTGGTTTCCTGTCTATTTCCCCTATAGAAAGCAAGGTCTGTGAGGGGGTGGGGGGGAATCTTGTCCATCTTGCCTACCGCTGAATTCCCAGCACCTAGCAACAGGCCCTCCTACAGAAGAGGTGCTCAAGAAATGGGCAAATCAAAGCAGGTTACCCTGCTTTGGTTAGGAGCACACATTTGGAAGTCAAATCAACTTAGGTTTGAATTCTGCTCTGCTGTTTGTTACCTGTGTGATCTCAGGCAAGTTGTTTAACTTCTCTGAGTCCCAGTTTCCTCATCCATTCCGTGGTGATCATTGTGGGTCTTTAATAGACTATCAAAAAATAATTGTTTGAGGGCAGGCACCTAGTAAGTGCTGAGTCTTGGATTCATCCTCAGGTTGGCCTGACTCCAAAGCTATACTCTTTCTCTGAAGCAAGCTTCCAGAGCCAGTTTTGCCTTGCTCTTGGTGTCTCTTCTCATACTCTTCCCATCTCAGGATCAATCCCTGGCCAAAAGATGAGGCATCTGCTTGCTGCAGTGAGTCCAAGATAATTTGAGGACTGCCTTCAGGAAAAATGGTACATCCACACTACTCCACTCTCCCAACCCCCATTTCTCAGGGAGAATCTGCATTTGCTTTTTTTTTTTTTTTTTTTTTTTGAGACAGAGTCTCACTCTGTCACCCAGGCTGGAGCGCAGTGGCACCATCTCGGCTCACTGCAACCTCTGCCTCCTGGGTTCAAGCGATTATCCTGCCTTAGCCTCCCAGGTAGCTGGGATTACAGCCATGTGCCACCACACCCAGCTAATTTTTGCAATTTTAGTAGAGACCAGGTTTCACTATGTTGGTCGGGCCGATCTCAAACTCCTGACCTCATAATCTGCCCACCTTGGCCTCCCAAAGTGCTGGGATTACAGGCATAAGCCACCGTACCCAGCCTGCATTTGCTTTCCAGGTCCCTCCAAAAAAGACTAGGTAGGCATGAAAACAGCAAAGACTTCACAATGGCAGACCGAGGACGTCCCCATGCATAGACATGGAAATATCCAGGCGGTCTTGTCACAGGCTGAACTCTGCCAGCATGTGTGGCTGGCAGTGCTCAGAGGTTGACTGACTTACTCTGTCTTACAGAGGCCATTCCTGACTCCTAACACTTCAAACCCATGTCCCCACTATATGGTACTTGAGGAGATTATTGATAGTGCATGGACAAGCATTTTAATTCTAATAGATATGTATTCCAATATGTATAAGAAAAAAATGACCATTGTTTTACGGATATAACTGGGATGAGGCTTTTTAAAAAAATGATTGATTTACATAAAAACATATAGGAATAGTGCACAGAGGAGACATATAAGACAAATTCCAGGAAGGTTATAGGCAAATAAATGAGGTTTGGGAAACACTGCTTTAAATCAAGACTGTTCACTCATGGACCATCCCAACCCTTATAAAAATAACTAGCAGGTGAAAACTGGTAGTGTAGGTCTGTCTCCAAAGTATGCATTGGGAACAGTGGACGGTTTATAGATAATCCACTAAAAGAAGAGGTCCACATACAAATACATACATTATTATATTTACAGTTAAACAGGTTTTTTTCCCAGGCGCCTTCTCAAGGTCTTCCATATGCAAATACTTATGTGACTCTTGAAAAGAGGGACCTGGAGTGCAGCATCTCCAAAATGTAGGTAAACCCGGCCAGGAGCGGTGGCTCACGCCTGTAGTGCCAGCACTTTGGGAGGCCGGTGGGGGGGCGGGGGTGGATCACCTGAGATCAGGAGTTCGAGACCAACCTGGCCAACATGGTGAAAACCCATCTCTACTAAAATTACAAAAATTAGACTAGGAGCAGTGGCTCACGCCTGTAATCTTAGCACTTTGGGAGGCCAAGGCAGGTAGATCATCTGAGGTCAGGAGTTCGAGACCAGCCTGGCCAACATGGTGAAGCCCTGTCTCTACTAAAAATACAAAAATTAGCTGGGCATGGTGGCACACACCTGTAATCCCAGCTACTTGGGAGGCTGAGGAAGGAGAATCGCTTGAATCCCAGAGGCAGAGGTTACAGTGAGCTGAGATGGTGCCACTACACTCCGGCCTGGGTGACAGAACGAGACTCCATCTCAGAAAAAAAAAAAATGTAGATAAATCCAAAAACACTTTTTTCCGGACTACCTCTTGAGACTTGGACTTTTTGGGGGTGGTAGAGAGGGTGCACAATTCCTGGAGGTACTGCAATCCAGGTCAATGTGTAGAGTGGACAGAGCAAGCTCCTATTCCATCTCCTTGCTCCAAAAATCTACTTATTATATTATCCTCAGATAGAGAATGTATCAGATATTAAACTGGTAAGAACAGATGCTGCACATGATCTTAGCCAGAAGGCCAAGAAGCAATGAGACTTGAACTTTTTGAAATGACTGAACCTCGAGACTCTTGATCTAGGTGGTCATCCAAGATTTAATTCTTATTCATTTGATTCTGACTCTTTTAGGTTAGTTATCAACCTGGCCCAACTCTTGTCTCCCAGAACTGAACACCTCTAGGGTTGTCTAAGCAACTCCTGCTTTTCAGGAACCCATCCATCTGCACAGTTTCCCCGGACTGCAAGATTATGGAGGAACAAGATACACAAATACACAGATGTGCTGCTACAGTTACTTGGACCAGGATGGGCACTCGATCCAAGCTGAGCCACTCAGGTTAACTTCCTTAAGGCTCTAGAATTCAGAAGAGGAGAATGGTTCCATCTATCTTCTTGTGGATAGATCTGTAGTATGTAGATTAGGGAGCTGCTCCTGGCCGTACTTGCTGTCAGAAGGGCCAGAGAAACCTGGAGATGGGGGAGGAAATAGGAGGAAGTGGGTGGAGGAAGAGATAAGAGATAGAAGTCCCTGCCGGGGCTTTGGCTCACACCTGTAATCCTAACACTTTGGGAGCCTGAGGCGGCTGGATCATTTGAGCCTAGGAGTTTGAGGCCAGCCTGTGCAACATAACAAAATCCTGTCTCTACAAACAGAAATTAGCTGGGCATAGTGGTGTGAGTCTGTAATCTCAGCTACTAGGGAGGCTGAGGTGAGGATCACCTGAGAGGCTGAGGCAGCAGTGAGCCAAGATGGCGCCACTGCACTCCAGCCTGGGTGACAGAGTGTCACCTTGTCTCAAAAAAGAGAGAGAGAGAACCCTGATGAATGAAGTTCAGTACCCTGGTTCCTACTTTCTCCTGAAGCCTGGTTGCATGGTTCCTGTTCTAGCACCTTTAAATTGATTCCCCCTTTTGCTTAATTGCACTCTAATGGGTTGGTCCTAATCTCCACCTGATTCCTGGGCACTCACAAGGCCTCTGTTATCCTTTTGGCATCCCCTCTGGAGCTGGCATGCTGTGGAACAGGATGCCCCTCCTGACATTTTGACCCTTGGATGCTGGCACATTCTTGACTTTGCCAATTCTTTGACAACGATGTCTTCTAGCAGCTCTCCCCGCCAATGCCTAAGAATCTGTTGCCCTTTCAAGATTCCGATTCCCTTGGAAAAGAACCTGCTGGGTGCTCAAGAAAGGAGATTCAGGCTGGCAATCTCAGGAACAACCAGAAGAGCCCTTTGCCTCCTAGAATGAAACAGCTCAGCAACAGTTGAGATGTGCGGAATAAAAAGGTCAGAATCAGGTCGGGCGTGGTGGTTCATGCCTGTAATCTCAACACTTTGGGAGGCCAAGGCAGGCGGATCACCTGAGGTGGGGAGTTCGAGACCAGCCTGACCAACATGGAGAAACCCCTTCTCTGCTAAAAACACAAAATTAGCCAGGCGTGGTGCTGCATGCCTGTAATCCAAGCCACTAGGGAGGCTGAGGCAGGAGAATCGCTTGAACCTGGGAGGTGGAGGTTGCGGTGAGCCGAGATTGCACCATGGTACTCCAGCCTGGGCAACAAAAGGGAAACTCCCTCTCAAAAAAAAAAAACAAAAAAAACAAAAAAAACAAAAAAAAAAACAAAACGGTTAGAATCAATAAGACAGCTGGCAACTCTTGAATTGTGAAATGAGAGGCAGTCAAGCAACAAAGATGTAGGATCCTGGCCATGTGGCTTGGGGCAAGAAAAGTAGTCCACTTGTATCTCCATTGTTTTCCTGCCAGAAGACATCCTTTCTGTGATGAGGACATTTATTCATTCAACCAGCATTCCCTGAGGAATGAAGGCAAATAGGTACTATTTACCTATTGAGGCTGGCAGGTCCTATACTAAGCCCTAGAGATATAGCTATTTATAAGATCTAATCGTCATGTTGGAGGAGTGCCTAGTCTGATAATCAGACAGACGTATTCCCCAACTGTAACCCTAAGGTATAAGGAATGATAGGGAAGAGGGGGCCAGCTATCAGTTGCTATGGGAACTCTTGAGTAAAGGAGCACATCCAACTCACCAGTGGTGGTGGGGGCAATATTAGGAAAGGTTTCTAGTTGGACGCTATTCTTGAAAGATGAGGGGGTGCTAGCCCGTGGAAGAGAAGAAAAGATATTGCAAGAAGAGAGGCAATATATGCACAGTCATAGCTTTGGTCAGGATGGAGCAGAGGGTAAAAGTGAAGATACACCGAATGTAGACTGGGCAGGTGGAAGAGGCCCTCCTAGTGCCGGTGGAGATACTGCAAGGTGAACTATGACAGGGTTTCAAACAGGTACAAGAACAATCACAGGCAGCAGAAGGGGAAAAGTTTGGTGGAATTGACACTGGAAATAAGCAGATTAGCTAGGAGGTCCAGGGAGAGCATTGTGTTTCAGAAGCAACCTTAACCATGGAAGATCATTTGCAATACCTGAAGACGCAAACTGTGACGGGGACAGAAGGATTTGGCCTGTGTCAAGGGTATAGCCCAAATAGAAGTTGTGAAGCAGCTCTCTCTGAATCCCCCTATCTCAATGTGTGCTCTTGGGATGACCTTTGGCTGCCTGAGTCCAGCTGCTTCCAACTAGAGAACTAGCAGGCAGTGGGAGGCATAGAGGCAGAGACCAGGCTCCAGGAAACACTGGAAGATTCTAAGAGTGAGAGAAGCTCCTAGATGCCTCAGCATTACTTCCAAGAAAATGGAACAGAAGTAGCTGCCTCACTCAGTAACCAGTAGGTGATCCTTTAGCCAAAGTTGGGTTTTGAAAAGGCCTACTTCCCTGTCCTCCCTCCCCACAAGCCCTCCAAGTCCTCAATCCCCTCCCCTCCACCTCCCCAGAGCCTAGTTCACTCGAGCATCTTCTCTCCCTCCTGCATGGCAACTTCTCCTTCTCCCAGTTTTCCTCCTTGACCCTGTCAAAATTCATGTCTCACGTTAATTGGTTGCTTACCACATCTCTGCCCTGTGCTGAGTGCTTCACATACATTTTCATTTAATCATTGCAATAACCATATGAAACAGGGGCTACTTGTTCCTTCATTTTACAGACAAGGAAACTGAGGCTTAGGAAAGTTAAGTAAGTTAACCTGCCCAAAGTTACACTGCTATTGAATGGGGGGGCTATGATTTGAACTCAAGCAGTGTGTATATGGAGCCCAGTCTTAGAACCCCTAACCTGCTTCCCAAGTTGTCCTTAGGTCACTGTTGCCCTCATCTGTGTTTGAAACATTCGGAAAGGACAATCTACACGTGCTGCCTTTTCTGCTTTACTTTTCATTCCTTAAACACTGTCAGTCTGGCTTCCATTCTAATCAGGGACTTCCTAGTTTCCAAATAGAGTAGCCTATTCTTCTCCACTTTCCTGCAGCCCTCAATGACAAGGATGAGCACATTCTTTGAGGTCCTTTGCATTTGGATCCAATGACCATTAATTCTCCTGGCTTTTTTCCTACCTCTCCAAATACCATTTATTTCTCCCTCTCTTCATTCAGCACAATTTAAGGGATCCCCAAGATTATATCATCAACCTTGTCTTCTCTCTATATGCCCCCCTCTTGGTAGCCTTATTTTTTTTTTTTTTTTTTTTGAGATGGAGTCTCGCTCTGTCGCCCAGGCTGGAGTGCAGTGGTATGATCTCAGCTCATTGCAACCTCACCTCCCAGGTTCAAGCAATTCTCCTGCCTCAGCCTCCCAAGTAGCTGGGATTACAGGTGCCCACCACCACACCTGGATAATTTTTGTATTTTTAGTAGAGACGAGATTTTACCATGTTGGCCATTCTGGTCTTGAACTCGTGACCTCAAATGATCCTCCCACCTTGGTTTCCCAAAGCTCTGGGATTACAGGCATGAGCCACCGCACCCAGCCAGGTAGCTTCTTAAATGAATGTCTCTAGCCTTGACTTCTTTTTAGAGCCGTAGAAATATTTACCCATATGCCTATTGCATGTGTCCCCTTGATGACCCCCACAGCCCTTTGGTCCTGGGTTCAGCTCTTCTCCTGAAACTGCCCTTCCCTTCTATGGTCCCCGCTTAGCAAATAGCTCTATTCCTCCCGGTCACTCTGGCTCAAAACCTTGAAGCCTCTTGAGTTAACCCTTGATCCTGTCCTCCACATCCCATTGGTGGCTACTACCTGTATGGAATCTGCCCAAGACCTTCTTTTGTAATTGTCCCTCCTTCGCCAGGTTCTCATTGCATCCTGACCCTTCTTTGGCTTCCCTGCATCACTCACACACACACACACACACACACACACACACACACACACATCAACTATGAGCTATGAGCCAGGTACTATGCTAGTACTAGGAATTCAGTCGTGAACTAGAAAGACAAAAGGCCCCTGCTGTCAAGGAGCTCAGGTCTGGTGGGTGAGACAGAGGAGGGAACAAGTAATTGTCACTTACTGTGATGAGCGCCTTGAGGATAAAGTACAGTGTGTTTGCAGTAGGAACCCTTTAGAAGAACTGCCATCCAGAATTACAGAGTTAGGCACGGATTTCCAGTGGAAATGGCATTTAAATTTAGGTCTCGAAATGGAAACAGAAGTCAGCCAGGTAAAGGTTGGGGAGAATAAAGAAGGCATGTGAGGGAGACAAGCACTCGAGGCCAAGAGAACAGATGGGCAAAAATTTGGAAACTGGAAAGTGCAGGGCTTATGTGGTGAATGCCTGGTAATTCAGTACGGCCAAGGGGTAGAGGGTGAAGAGGAATATTGAAATATGAGGCTGGAGGGGTAAGCAAGACCCAATTCATGGAGGGTCTCTAAGGCATTTGCAGTTTATCTTCGTAGCACTGGGGAGTCACTGTGAGCTGCTATGAGTGATGGGGGAACATAATCAATATGTGTTTTAGAAAATATTACCTACAGGCTGGGCGTGATGGCTCATGCCTGTAATCCTAGCACCTTGGGAGGCCAAAGTGGGCAGACTGCCTGAGCTCAGGAGTTTGAGACCAGCCTGGGCAACATGGCGAAATCCCGTCTCTACTAAAAAAATACACACACACACACGCACACACACACACACACTAGCTGGATGTGGTGGCGCACACCTATAATCCCAGCTACTGGAGAAGAGGGCACAGGAATTGCTTAAACCTGGGAGGCAGAGGTTGCAGTGAGCTGATATTGCGCCATTGCACTCCAGCTTGAGTGACAGAGCAAGACTCTGCTAAAAAAAAAAAAAGAAGAAGAAAGCAAATGGATTTGAAGTATTCAAGACTTGAGGCTTGGCTAGGCATGGTGGCTCACACCTGTAATCTCAATGCTTTGGGAGACCAAAGCGGAAGGATTGCTTGAGCCCAGGAGTTCAAGACCAGGCTAGGCAAGATAGCAAGACCTCATCTCTCTCCCTAAAAATGTTTTTCAAATTAGTCAGGCATGGTAGTATGCACCTGTAGTCCTAGCTAGGCAGGAGACTGAAGTGCAGGGATTACTTGAGCCCAGGAG